TGAGCGTTTAATTGACCCCACAAATGTGATGCTCCAGAAACTCAATCTGCTCAAAGGAAGGTCAGTTTTGTAGCTTCTGTAACGAGCTAAACTGTTTTCAGATGTGTGAACATGATTGCACAAGGGTTTTCTAATCATCAATTAGCCTTCTGAGCCAATGAGCAAACACTGGAGTGATAGTTGCTGGAAATGGGCCTCTATACACCTATGTACTGTATTGCACCAAAAACCAGACGTTTGCAGCTAGAATAGTCATTTACCACATTAGCAATGTATAGAGTGTATTTCTTTAAAGTTAAGACTAGTTTAAAGTTATCTTCATTGAAAAGTACAGTGCTTTTCCTTCAAAAATAAGGACATTTCAATGTGACCCCAAACTTTTGAACGGTAGTGTATATATATATAGAGAGAGAGAGCATCCAGCATCATGAAGAGCTTTAACCCACTCAGCTCTCCACGTTTCACCATTTTAAACAGGAATGAGGAATTTAAACTGAATCCACCTTTCATACGTAAACCTGAGCACCTGGACTTCTCTGAGGAGTTAGAAATGAATCAAGCTTCACATTCAACCACTAAAACTGATGTTTCTGTTCAGGAATGGAAGTAAATCACTACAATCTGACATCTTCATCAATAAAAAATGAGCTTTACTGTTTTGTTTTTAAACTGTAGTTTGAAAATTCCTGGATAACAACAATAATTACATTCTAGCATTAAAAACATCCTTTGGGTTAAAGAGCTTCTACATGCTGGTGTCTGAACCATGACAGGAACATAGGAAACGCTGCTGGTAATGACCAGCATGTGGTCCAGCTGTGGCATTAACCTGACTCTGGGAGCTGGTCTGAGACATCTGTGAAGCGCTGGACCACCGATAGAGAAAAGCCAACAGAACAGAAAACTCACAAAGCACCAACTAGGACTAAATAGGAACAGGACTTGTACCTTCATCTGGACCAGGATGTGCACCCATACCCGGACCTGGAACTAGACTTGGACCAGTACCATGACCTGGTCCATGACGCTGGACAGAAACCTAGACCAGGACCTGTACTGCAACCAGGACATGAACCATAGTCCGGACCAGAAACATGGTCAGGACATGAACCAGGACATGGAACTGGACGAGGATCAGAACCAGGACCTGAACCCAAACCTGGACCAGAAACACGGTCTGGATCTGAACCAGGAAATAGACCTGGACCAGGGACTGAACTTGAAACAGCACCAGAAACATGATCTGGATCAGAAACATGGTCTGAACCTGAACCAGGACCAGGAGTTATATCTAGACCAGAACATTAAGTGCAATGGCAGTGACGGTCCATGGTCAGAGACCCTGCAGTCTCTTGGGTCGGGTTTACAGGCCAGTGATCTGTAACGGTTTCACCAGCTGATCTGAAAAGTTGTGCTACAACAAAAACACAGAGATGTCTTCAAACAGAAACTGAAATCTGGACCAGAACCCTGACAGCAGAGGCTCTGATCTCTGGAACTGAAGAGGACTTACTAGCAGCCTCCTGCCACAGAGGGTGGAGGTCAGCCATGAAGATAGGGTCGTCGATCTCTCTGAAGAACCTCTTCAAAACGTCAGTCACGTCCTCAATGAAGTGGTCTCCAATCCGCAGTTTGACGTTTCGGGCATCTTTACGAAACTCCTCCATCAACAACTTGATCCTGGATTTGGCCCCGTTTTTCCTGTAGATCCCCTCGTGGCCAAGACCTGCAGAGAACCACAACAGTGAGCTTGTAGAGGTCATCCTGTGGTCGTCCAACAATAGAAACGAAGCATGCAGGCATGACTCGTGGTTTAAGGGTAGTGTGATTACAGCTCCTAAACCTGGCGCTGTGACGTTCTCGACCAATCAGCAGCACATGTGACATAAATAAAGTGACTGGAGCTCAGAGGAGTTGTCCTCACCGTACTGCGTGATGAAGGCGATGCAGCTGTCCACGATGATGGGGATGTCGTTCCTGCTCAGCTGCTGCTCTCTCAGAGTGTTTCCTTTACCGCCAGCCGCCCGCTGGATGTCGGAGTACCACAGAGAGAAATCTGTCCGGCCAACGCCCTGCAGGTGGAGAGTCCTGATGGGAAGAACAGACAGTGACAAAACACCCAGAACCAGGACCAAGGAAGTCTGCAGAAACTATTCCTCTCACCTCCCTTTTTCAACCAACACCAGGATGTCTTTCTTCTCCTGGTTCTCCACCTCAGAGGTGATACCTTCAACACAGAGACAGACAGCTCAGTCAGTCACACATGGTCTCTGTGGACCAGGACATGAACCATAACCAAAACCAAGGGCCAGGACCAAAATCAGGGCCAGTGCAAGACCATGACCTAGACCAGGACCAGGACTGCGACTGTGACTAGGTTCAGGACCAGGACCAGGACCAGGACCAGGGCCAGGGCCAGGGCCAGGGCCAGGGCCAGGCCCAGGCCCAGGGCCAGGGCCAGGACCATAACCAAAACCAAGGACCAGGACCAGGACCAGGACCAGGGACAGGGACAGGGACAAGGACAGGGAAAGAAACAGGGACCAGGACCATAACAATGACCAAGACCAAGGACCAGGTAGAGGATCAGAACCAGGGACCTGGACCATGATCAGGGCCGGGACCAGGACCAGGACCAGGACCAGGACCAGGGCCAGGTCAAGGTCAAAGTCTAGGTCCAGGTCTAGGTTGAGGACCAGGGCCGGGGCCAGGACTAGGACTATGACAAAGACTAGTTTCAGGACCAGGGCAAGGACTATGATCAGGGCCATTGCCAGGGTCAAGATCAAGACCAGGACCAGAAATCAGGACTATATTCAGGACCACGACACTGACTCAGCTCTTGCAGGCGGTTCAGGTTGATGATGTCCTCTGCAGCTCCATCGGTTTGGGGGCAGACAAAGAGGTTGGACTTCTGCAGGACAAAGTAAGCCTCCTTCCACTGCTGAGGGTCCAGCATGGCCCGGTACCGCAGGAGACCAACTCGCTCAAACTCCCGGGTCAGCAGGCAATGACAGCTGAGTGGCGTCGCAGCCTGAACCAATCGACAACATGAAGATTAAACATGGCATCAGGAGGGAGAGCTGCCATCACAGCAACGGTCCAGAGAGCAGACAGACATCTGAGGAAGCCACAGACTGTATAAAGATGGACGTAGCAACCGGCCCTGAAAAATGAAGCCGACCCGGAAGTGTCAGAAACCTGCAGTATCACTACGTCCACTAGCTGCTGGCTCCACAAAGCCCTGGCTCCCATAGACTGGAACTGGAAAAGAAGTGATCACAGATCAATAAATCCTGCATTCCTACAGCTCAGGATGGTTTTCTTATTAGTTTTCATGGTCAGATCCAGAGATCAGGTGACCAATCTGAAAATAAATCAATACGGAATCTTTAAAAAATGGTCAACATTTTGCGGGGCGAGGGGCGTGGCTGGCTTGATTGACAGTCGGCAGCGACCATACAGACGAAGCGAGCAGAAGGCGGTAAATGTGGGCGGGCAGAGAGGGCCCGCCTCTCAATCCGTCTGACCAATCGCTGCTCCTATGGCTCCGCCCCCCTCCCACGATTTTTGCGTCACTGGCTCCAAAAATCCAAGATGTCAACCAGGAAGTAGCAAAACCCTGGCTTCATGTTCTCAGTGCAGAAACCAACGGGTGACGTCACGGCAGCTACGTCCATCTTTTATACAGTCTATGGAGGAAACACTGATCCACATGTCAGAGTCCAGACAGCTGGATCAAGAGAAGAACCTTCAAACTAATCAGTACCGTCAGCACACAGTAAACACAAGAGAAAGGAGCCACAGAAACACATTTCTGAGAACAAAGTTGGACGATTTTTACTATTTCAAACCTGAAGTGTAGTGTTTTATATTTTAGAGTAACATCAGAATTCTGCAAAAAAAAAAACCAGACACTTTGATAAAAAAAAGTCTTTTTGTTTGACGTGATCTGAGTGTGATGGAAGCACTGAGGTCAGAGAGCCAGTCAGACCTTTCCGATGGCTTTGGTCCAGCTGTGCAGCGTGTCGGCTGTTTCCAAACCAAACTGATAAAGTTTCTCTGAACTCAGATACAACTCGAAAGTGTAACGAAACCTGAGAGACAGAAGAAAGACATGTTTTCATACCAACAAAGATCAAGTCTGTCAACAGGTTTAAATCATCCAGTTCAGCGACATGTGAAAGACCTGTCAATGAATCCGTTGTTGGCTTTGGAGGAGTCGGGTCGACTGACTCCCAGACACACGATGTCTTTAACGTTGATCTGCAGGCAGGGATCTGCCGATCGATCCGACTCGTAGAGCAGCAGAGACTGATCCACCGAGCACCAGAACTTCTGGAAGTCTGACATGAGACCAAAGGACATATTCAGCTGCTTTAGCCTGCTCACATGACATGCACATGAAAATATTCCTTTCAGACAAATGAGTTAAGGGGCATTCAAGTTTGTTTTGGAGGTTCCAGAGTTCACTGAGGTGGTTAAGCTGGTTCGACAGGTAATTTAGGAGGAATTGCTGCTCATTTATATGTTTAAGGTGGTTAAGATGGTTTTAGAGTTGGTTTAGGAGATCCTACACTTCATTTAGGTGGTTCAGGAGTATCTAGAGTATGTTTGGGAGGTTCTGGCGGTCATTGATGAGGTGAAGGTGGTTCTAGAACCAATTTAGGATCTCTGGAGTTCATTTAGGTGGTTAAGGTGGTTCTAGAGGTCATTTAAGAGGTTCTAGAGTTCACTGAGGAAGTTAAGGGGCTTCTGGATTTTATTATGGAGGTTCTAGGGTTCAGTTAGCTTGTTCAGGTGGTTCTAGAGTTTGCTTTACGGGTTCGAGAGTTCATTTAGTTTATTTAGGAGGTTCTTAAATTTTTTGGGGCTGAATTTAGATTTCATTTAGGAGGGTAAGATGATTATAGAATACATTTAGGGAAACAATTCTGTTCATGTTCTCACCATATTTCTTGGGCATGGGATTTATATTTCTGGCGATATTTCACTCTTACAATGACTTCCCAGTTGTGGTTTGTTTCTTTTTAAGGTAAAATCTAATAACTTGTTTAACTGTAAACTAAATGTTATCATTCATCCTACATCCACCCAACTGGTGGAGGCAGATGACCGTCCCTCCCTGAGCCTGGTTCTGTCCGAGGTTTTTTTTTCCCCTGTGGGGGTTTTCGGTTCCTTCCCACCAGCAGACTGCTGAAGCTTATAGAGAATCCAGATGTTTGGATTGTTGGGTGTTTCTGCCTTTGTGAAGCGCTATGAGATGACTTGTTGTTGTAAATATGCGCTATACAAATAAAACTGAACTGAATTGAATTGAATGAAAAACAAAATATTTTATAGAACTTAGTTTTAGGTCCCAAAAGACATACAAGAAAACTCGGAACAAAATCTGACGCGATGCAGCAGCACTGCTGTCTGAAGTGACTGAAGTATTGTTAAACTGCAGCAAAACGGAAACTGAATGCGTCCCCAGTTGAATACATGACTCACTGTTGCCCATAATGTTGGAATCATTTTTTTTTACCTCGTCTCATGAAATGATTGTGACAATATGATGTATTCTACATAGATAAAGTTTATACCTTCTCAAAACTTCATTGATATCACATATATATATATATAACACACATCACAGTAAACATTAAACCACAGTGAACTTTTGTAAACTGTGTTCAGGCTTAAAATAAACTACAGGATGAAGAGTTTGGTTTTGAACTTTTCTACCTTGCTCCCTTTCACAGGAAAGACATATTTGAGGGGATTTCATGCATCAGAATGTCCAATATTATTCTTTAAATGTCCCTCAGTCACTAATATTGAGTCTGCCCGCCCGACATGGATCAGTGGCTTCAGACATGGTGGCGTTCTGTCCACCAGCTGGTTGACGGAGTCAGTGGGCAGGACGTCCCACTCTGCAGTCACATCCTGAAGTCAGAACTGGTTTCACCTGCTAACTGGGACTCAGGATGTGATCACTGGACCTGGTCACAATGATGACTGATGTGTAGAAATAGAAATGAAAAGAGGAATGTGTCTGAAAACTAAAATTATTCCAACTTCAAGGGCGATGGTGTAGGTTCCCATGGCTGTGCAGCATCAGTTGTCATGGTGATCTAGCTGTGTAGCATCAGTTACCATGGTGATCTAGCTGTGTAGCATCAGTTACCATGGTGATCTAGCTGCGCAGCATCAGCTACAGTGTTAGTTCAACAGGTTAAAAGAGACCCTCCTTCATGACACTGAAAGCTAAACAGACCTGCTGACAGGTCAGTTTGTGGTGAAGCCCTCTGAACCAGCTGACCCCGTTGTCCTACCTTCTCGGGTTTTTCTGGACAGTGTTCCTCTGTTGACAGAGCCGGACTTGTAGAGGTAACCCGAATGCAGAACAGGCTGCATGATCTCATCGTACACGCTGGGATCTGATGGACGGTCACAAAACATTCATCAGAAAACGCACAAAGGTTTGACAAACTGGGGAATAACTGAAAAGGCCACAGCAGGGTCCTGACCTGAGGTGGGGCAGCAGTCCAGCAGGGAGCGCTGCTGGCAGCCGAGGGAGGCATCGGAGAGGCGAGCCGCCTCTGCCTCCGAGAAAATCTGAGTTACTGTTTTCAGAAGCGTCTGTTCAGAGACAGCTGAACACAAGACCTGAGACACAAGACAGAGAGACGCTATTAGTCCTGACATAAAAGTCCTTTTTGGACAGAAGACCTGGAACAGAACTGTTTTATCAGTGTTGAACTGATACAGTCGGGCATTTGTGTCTCTTTGGTGGTGTTTTGTGTCATCTTGTGTCATATGTATCTCACTGGAGTCATTTCTTCTTTAACTGAGTATCAAATTTTAATTTATTATCTTCAGTATCATTGCTGTTCTTTTTGTTGTTACTGAGGCATGTGAAGGTTGCTTCTGGAGTCAACCACAAAACCACCACAGGGAGACAGAACTGGACCACCAAGCGCAGCATTACGTTGTTAGTGTGTGACAGCTCTGCAGTCAATCAGCTGCTGTGATGGTTTTCAGTTTTCAGCCCTGCAGCAGCTTTTATCTTTTTCTCTCAGATTTTTCTGCTTCATGCAACATTCGGGTCACTTGACGTCCCACCGATGCCCCAGTGCGCTCCAGAAAGTTTTGGTTCATTTAGAGTCCAGGTTTAAGTGATCTTCAGCGATGCAGGAGGCAGTCTGAGGCTCTGACTGCTGAGCAGAAACAAAGCAGGTGGCATTAACGATCAGCTGATAATGGGATATTGATCGGCAGCGCTGACTCTGTCATGTACAGAAAAGCTGCTTCTTTGAAGCTGAGTGGAACAGAAGCTACAGTGTGTTTCTGACCTCGGGTCAGCTTTGATGTCCTCGTTTTTCTCTCTCGTTTGTTTCTGCAGAAAAGCTGTGACTGCAGCTTCACCAGCAGACACTCAGAACGGTCTTTCTATTTCACAGATTGTTTCTGCATGTTTGAAATACACAAAACAGAATCTCAGTTTACAAGTCTACACTTCTACAACACTTCAGAGAAGAATTTAGATCTATTTATATATCCAAGCTCGCTATGGTAAAAACTAAAACCCACATCGAAACAACTCTGGAATCACCACTTTGTTTGGTTCATTATTATAATTATTTGTTTGTTTGTGGTTTGATGATCGTTGGAAAATGTGATAGTGAGACTTCAAAAAGACAGAAAAGGATCCAGGAAGATGCAACTAAGAATTAGTGAAACGTTGCAGCAGGAACCAGGAGGTCCAGAAGGAGCCAGAGCAGCACTGATCAGGGCTGCAGTGGTCGTCCTCCTACAATGACTCCACGGACAGTCAACTACTGTCACTATGGAGCTGTGGACACCAGACAAAGGCAGCTGCTTCAGACTTGGCACAGGGCTGATCAATGGAGACCAGAGTTAGTGTGAAGCTCACACAGTGTGAAGGACACTTCAGAACATCAGCCTCTATGGACGGAGGACCAGAACTAAACAACAATCAAGCACATGAAAAGAAGCCTGATGGATGTTGGGAGCACATTTGTTGGTCAGATGGCTCAAATGGAGTCCACGTTTGGTGACCAGGACCACCACAGTGGATGCATGGTCCTGACAGTGAAGCACGGAGGTGGCAGCATCATGATGTGGGGCTGCATGAGGGCAGAAGGTGGTGGGGAGAGAATTACTGTACTTCTGTTGCATTGAGTTTCTACTGTGGAGCCTGAATTAATCTAAACTAGTAGTTTGTCATGTGACATCAGAGCAAATACTCTGCTGCTTGTCTTAGAAGTAATCTGATTACTGTGAGGAGATACAGGTTAGAGTCATTTGCTATCTGAGTGATATTACAGGGCTGTAGTCACTCCTGTGGTTCTGTGTAATAAAGCCAGTGAAATAAAGGCGGGAGCTGCCCCTACGCTGTGGTTCTGGCTTAACAATCAGTCGGACCTTGAGCAGCTCCTCCTGGCTGCAGAACTTGGGGTGGGGAAGCCGGTATCGACCTTCTCTGTATTTCTGGGTGATGAACTCCCTCCTCTGCTCGGGCGGAGCGTCGCAGTCCAGCTCGTCTGAAGGAGACACACGAGCTGCCCAGAAGTCATTGGACCGGTCGTTCCCCAGCATGATGAACAGCTGCTCCGCACAAACAAACAAACAGTTCGGTAAACAAACAACAACACAAAAGATTCATACTGAGCTTTCATGTCTGCCCAGCTGCTGATTAAATATTCTCTATATCTGTATTAAACAACAGGAGAGCAGCTGGTTCAGGTCAAGGACTACCACGGTTCTGCAAGTCCACAAGCTGAAATTCAATGATGGACCCGTCTGAGTCATTAGCAACTGTTTGTAAGTTATTTTGCACAAGTTTCTGTCCATTTTCCACAATGGACAAGTTTCTGTTTCCACTGTAGGATCTGACAGCTTCAGCTCACAGCGACCAAAACAAACAGTCCTGAAAGGCCCAGGTAGAGGGTCGATAGGACCGGTTCCTGTGGACCAGGCAGCAGCACCAGGCTGCACCACCATATGGCCAGCAGCCCGAGCTGCTCCGCTGAACAGGTGCTGGTCTCACCTGGACGATCTCGTTGCTCCAAACGCTGGTGTCAAGTTTCAGACTCTGAACTTTAGAGACCATCGTCCCCAGACCTCTGTGCTGCCCTGCACACAGACACACAAAAGACAGACACACAACGCATAACACAACACAGACAGACGGTGACACATGCTGCCATCAGCTGAGTAGCACCGCTCGAGAACGTATGTCAACCCCAAAGGCGTTCCACAGAGGTTCTAGTTTAGTTACAGTTTGTTTAGTAAATTCTAGTGTTCCTTTAGGTGGTTCTACTTCTAACTGTTGGAGATTCTAGAGCTTATGTGTTGGGTTCTGGAGGTCATTTAGGGTATATGTGTTATGTAGCTGGTTTTAGATTTCATTTATGAGCTTGTGGAGCTCAAGTATGAGGTTCTAGCATTTATTCAGGTGGTTCCACAGTTCAGCTGCTTAAGCTAGTTCTAGAGTCAATTCAGGTGGTTCTGGAGTCGATATAAAAGAATCTACAGTCCATCCAGTTGGTTGTAGAGTTTCTTTATGAGCTTCCATGTGTCTTGTACGAAGGCAACTTCAGCTAGGTTCAGTTTTATCTATAGAGCCCCAGTTCAAAACACTCTGCTGTTCTCCTGAGAAGTAATCAGATTACTGTCAGGTGATGCCATTTAAAATCATTTGGTATTTCGATGATATTGCCCAGGACCGTATTCACTGCTGTCGTTGCTTGTCGGTTGTTGTGTGATGAACTGTGGAACCACTTCAGTGAATGACAGAACCTCCTTTTTGAATTCTAGAAACAAAAAAATAAACAGTAGAACCAAGTAGATAAACTGTAGAACCCTTTACATGCGCTCCAGCAGATCAGAAATAAACTACAGAACCAAGTAGATAAACTGTGAAAACTCCTACATGAGCTCTTGGAGCAGATAAATTAGCTCTTAAACCAAACAGACCTCCTAATTGAAGCACTTAACAGTTCAAATCAACGTTAAACTGAAGTTAAATCCACTTTAAAGACAGAAATACACGTTAAATAAACTCATTTGCAACGTTCAGCCGGGGTTCTTGCACAGCACAAAGTTCTACCTGCACAGTTCTTGCAGATGACAACACACAGGTTGATAGAAGCCCAGTCGGGGTTCAGGGCTTTGCAGTCAGCACATATTCTGTTGGATCGGTTGGACCAGATCTTCTCGGCCACCTCATAATCCGACAGCGTCTCTGCGATGGACTCCTGCAGCGCCTCCATCCAGTCCCGCTTGTCGCGGTCCGACTCTGCTGTGAAGCTGAGGAGGAAGAACAGAGGTCGTGTTGAGGTTGCTGAGAGGACGGACACTTTGTGCCCAGCTCCATCTCCAGACCACAGACCTGAAGGTTTCTGCTGTGGGTAAACACATGCGTTAAAAGTGTTCAGCTGCTAAAACACGTGTTTTACTGTTAAATACTTTTTGTTTTCTTCTAAATGCAACAATGAGAAAACTGATGATGATTCAGTGATCATTCTGACCTGAAGGTCTTGTACGGAGTAATAAGGTCAAAGCTCTTGTGTTTTCCGTCTCGTATCGTCGCTCCTCGAGCTTCAATCACCGTGATGCCGATCCCGTTTCGAAAACACTGCAGTCGAAAAAAACACATGAAGACAACTTCTCCCATCAGCAGCCTGCCGTCATAAACATGACAACGGTTCTTCAGAAGACTCTCTGCTTGTTCAGCAAAACCTCATTATTCAAGGAGTGGTTCTTCACAGGTTCTCCATTATTACTGGAATTCTTTGGTTTGGTTTCATTCTGTGTTAATCATTTGTTCTTTGGTAAATGACATTGTGCTTTTCTACCTTAGTGGTACTCAAAGCGCTTTCACCCATTCACACACATTCATAGACCAGTGACATGATGCTGAGGACACGTCCACTGTGGAGGGGATCAAACCGCTCCACCAGCTGAGCCACAGCCGTTCACAAAACATCACAAAACAGTGAGTCCATCACAGTTTCCCAAATCCAGGCTGAACAACCATGTGACCTTTGATTTAGTTTTTATATTCGTGCCAATATCACTACCTTACAAAAAATGTCACTAAACAGATGCACTTTTTAAACGCTTTGTTACTGGTTTGTATTGAACTCCACGTTGATGTATTTATTGAGATGAGTGCCACTAAAACCACCAGGAAAAGTGTGACTGAATGAACCTGCCGAGCACTTTATAAATACTTTATTACCTCAAACTAAAATGTTTCTAAATAAATGTTTTTGCAGTTTGGTACTCTTTTAAACCATGTATTATAAATTCCCTTTTTTCACTGTAGACGGGCTAATTACCATATATGGTACCTTTATCTTGATTTGCATTTAATTCTTTTTAAAGTCACAACACCCTGAGGTTGAAATGTTCATTTTTCAAGTATTTCAAGGAGTGCCCTATAAAGGGTTAAAGAACCTTTAAAAAAAATAAAAAAAATCTTTAAAGAACCTTCAAATAGTTCTTGAATTAAAGGGTTATTTAAAGAGACAGGTCTTTTAAGAAACGCTAAAAGGATCCTTAAAGAACCCATCCATCCATCATCTCCACCTTAATCCTCACTAGGGGGTGGAGTCTATCCCAGCTGACTCAGGGTGAAGGCAGGTTCACCTGGACAGGTAACCAGTCTATCACAGGGCTACACTTAGAGACAGACAACCAAGCACACTCACATTCACACCTACGGACAATTTACAATCACCAATTAACCTCAGCATGTTTCTGGACTGTGGGAGGAAGCCGGAGAACCCGGAGAGAACCCACGCTGCACGGGGAGAACATGGAGACTCCACGCAGGAAGATCCCGGGTGTCCTCACCGGGACGCCAACCGGAGACCTTCTAGCTGTGAGGTGCTAAAGGTGCTAACCACTGAGACACCTGCAGGCTTAAAGAACTCCTTTTTGCTAAAGCTCTTTGGAGAGCTATTAGTGGAGCCTCGACCTGTTGGTGTTCTCACCAGTGTGCCCACCTGTTGGTGCCCACCTGTTGGTGCTCTTACCTGCTCGCTCTTGTGAAGCCAAATCTGGTCGGTATTGATGGCGGCATAAACTTTGGATTTAGTTCCCTTCAGTTCGAGGACTCCGTGTTTCTGGCAGTGAGATCCAGGACCGAACCGCCGCCGCCCGAACACCATCTGATCTCTGACGTGCTCCTGTAGCGTGGACACCCAACGCCGTCGCAGCACTGACACACAGGAGACACACAGCCACCAATCACAGCACTGCCACAGCAACAGCATCAGCCAATCAGCTCACTGGGATTCTTCTCATCTGTCACACTGCTGCTATAGCCACAAGTTTTTCCGTTTATCGTTTTCAACTAAAATGCTTAAGAATTAGAGAGAACTACTAATTACACACAGTATACAGCAGCAGAGAGTAAAGCGCTGTGTGATATCTCAAAGTCAAATGAATCGAGACTGAATCCACCGACAGTAATCAGAATTCTTTTATCTGTACGTATGCGGTGCCTATAAAAAGTGTTTTACTGCTCAGAAGAAAAAAAAGGAAAAAAGGCTCCTTCATGTCAAAGTGACGATATCTACCAGAAAAATCACTTCCTAAAAAATGCAAAACGACTGCTTGCATTAGTATTTACCCCTTTGAAGTGTCCCACCGAGTTCAACACAAATGCAGTCAGTTGATGCTAGAAGTCACACCGTCAGTGTATTTAAGGTCAGTGAATGTGTCTCAGTGGTTGTAGTACAAGGAATCCTGTATCTGGGAGGTCCAGTCACTGGTGGATCAGTACACCTGGATAGAACCACACCATGAAGACTGAAGAACACTCCAAGAACTCTGGTAAAGGTTGTTGAAAAGCACAAGTCAGGGGATCATACAAGAAAGTGTCCAGGTAATGGAATTTCCCTTGAAGTACCTTGGATTAAGAAACGGAAGGAATATGTGTAAATCGTCCTCAAAAACTGAGTGACCGAGCAAGAAAGAGACAAGTGAAGGAGGCCACCAAGACTCCTACAACTCCTCCGAAGAATATACAAGCTTCAGTGGCTGAGATGGGAGAGACTGTCCACACAACTGTTCCTTGTTCTTCACCAGTCAAAACTTTAAGGGAGACCAGCAGAGAGAACATCTCTGTTGACAGAAGGTCAGCTAGAGTTCACCAGAAGTTTGGAAGAAGGTTCTTTGGTCCGATGATACCAAAATGGAGCTTTTTGTCCATCAGACTAGATGCATATCATCCCCACTGCGAAGCATGGTGGTGGCAGCATCATGATGGCATTTCTGGATGTTTGCAGGCCTCAATAATGGCTTCTTAGCAGCTCTTCTTCCCTCTAAGCCTTGTTCCATCAGGGATAACCGGATGGAAATTAGCCTTGTGCTAAATCCGCCGTATTTACTGCAACCTGAGATTGTACATACATTAATACGCACTGTCCCATCTAAATGAACAAATCAAAAAATAACAGTAATAATTATGTTCTAGCAAAAATCTATCCAGGGAACATCTGGACAGGTAACTGGTCGTATTCTCTCAAAAATGATTTTGGTAATTACCAATGCTGTTCACTTAGGGCAGCTGTGGCATAAACTTTACATTCAGCCCTTTTCCACCAAGAAGAACCAGGTGCTAGTTCCAGAACTTAGTTGGTTCCAATCTGGCACCTCCTAAGAACCTGTTTGCTTTTCCATCAGCAAGGAGCCCAGTTAGAGCCTCACCATCCGTCACTGCATACGGAGCCGTTTACCGAACAGCGCTGGCGCCACACAGAGTCCACACAGGACTCCAGACTGACCGGTACGACCAACTTTCTCACCTGGTCACAGGAAAAACATCTGACCTGCTGAACATGTTCTTATCCACAGACTCTACAGTTT